CTTTTCCTCCACATCCTCATCAGCACTTATGTTCTTTGTGTTCTTGATGACAGCCAATCTGACACCATCCCTGGCTCTTAATGAGATTTTTGAGAGGATTAAATTCAGAATCTCACACATGCTAAGCAGGCCCCCCTTCCATGATACTCTCCCCACAACCCTTCAATCATCAGCCCTCTCTGTGTGTATTTATTGAGCAGTGCTGGGGACTGAACGTAGGGTCTGGTGCCAGCTAGACAAATGCTGTCCCTGAGCTACATCCCTCCCTTTGCACCACTTTTAAAAGGTCAGTTTTTCACAGAAATAAATGTTAGATTTGCAGTGATTAGACAGACGAGGAGATTTTCAGGAATATATTTGTCATTTAATGATCCATTTCAGAGACTGGACGTATCCTTCAGAATGCTAATTTATTTTAGCTCCCCCAGTGGTATCACTAAAAATATACAGAGTAAGAATCTCAAAGGCACTGGAGAATTGAGCGCCACAAAGTGCTCAAGGCTAAAAAAGAAAAATGTCATACATATTGTAGGTGAATTTTTAGCATCCCATCAGAATTATTTGTTCCTGATAATCCTTCACCTCCTAATACTGAGAAAAGACATTAGTTATGGTGATTTATTCAATAAATTTGTATCTCAACAGCTGTATTTTTTGTATAAATTATTTCCTTGATGCTGCCGGGCACCCTGACTGATAATGTTCTGCAAAACACCTCGTGGGGGATGTTCATATCCAGAAGCTCACAGTGCCCGGTTTCAGCCTGAACTTTGAGTCTCTTAGCAACAGTGGGTTTCTCCTGGGCTCAGCACTGACTGTCCGACCGCATTGTTCCATTCGGTCCCTAAATACAGGGTATGGCTTTGTGGCTGATGTGAACCAGCTGAGCAGCCCAGCCAGGCTTAGTGTCTGCCCCTGGCCCAGTCCCTGGCAGCTCCCACCACGTGAAGCTGCATTCCCTCTGCCACACCTCCACCCTCTCAACCCTTTGAGTTCATGCCAGTGCTATTTAACTGTGGCCAGTAATATCCATTTGGTAGGGGGCTGGGGATTTAGCTCAGCGGCATAAGCGCCTGCCTTGCAAGCAGGCAGTCATGAGTTCGATCCCTTACCGATAAAAAAAAAAAAAAGGAAAAAGACAAAAAAAAAAAAAATCCATTTGGCTTCTCCTGCAGCACCCTGCAGACACCAGGAAGTGCCAAACACTGTGTCATTCATTGCAGGGTACAAGGTTCTTCAAATGTTAAGCGACTCTGAAAGACAAGCTAAGATTTAGTTTCTGGAAGTCAGAAGCCTGAGTCTGGATTGTGGTTTGGCTATTTACGATGATGTCTCAAGTAAGTCTTTTCTAAGTTTCTTCACTTGCAAATATGCGAAGATTTATTAGCATCTACTCCACAACAGGCACTGTTTTAGGTCCTTCACATACACTAAGCCTTTAGGGCTAAAACAGGTGGGATGCCAAGCCCATCCTCATTTTATATAGAAAGAAACAGGCACAGATCACGTAGCTAGCGAGCATCGAAGTTGGAAATGGATCTCAAGCATCTTACTGCTAAAACTAGATTCCTAACCACCATGAGGTCTTTCCTGTCAATTAAATCAAGTTATATTTGGATATTACAGAGGTGCATGCAGATGCTAAGTCACTACTGCAGTGACAGAGATGAAGATAACCAAGGAGAACGGTGGCTTTCACCCTGTAGTCAAACAGCCTGGTTTTTGCCATCGGTGGCATCTGAGGAGTCCATTGAAATACAGGGTCCCAGCCCTTAATCTTGCAATTCAGTACACCTGCAGTGAGACCTATGAGCCTGCATTTTACCAGGTGGCCTGGGCAGTCACAGTGTCCCTTTGCAGAAGACTTATGCTGGTTGGAGGCCGGGGCTTTGGGAAGTCAAGCATGTGCAGCTCAGAGCCCATCACATGCAAAACAAAGCTGAATCCTAGCTGGCTTTTATGAGGACTGGGCAAGTTATTTAGCCCTGCTAAGCCTCAGTTTCCAAAATAAATATGCAGAGCCCATTCCTTCCTCCCTTTCTTTCTTCCTTTTTTTACCCTTCCTTCCTCCTTTTCTTTTGACAATTTTTTTTTTGGAGCCCTGGTCTTGCTATGCAGTTCAGGCAGCGCTTGAACTCACTATACAGCCAGACTGGCCTCAAACATGCCATCTCCCCACCTCAGCCTCCTAAGCAGCTGAGTGTGCAGCTGTCCTCCGCCGTGTGGGACACAGAGCACTCTGCACAGCACTTCCATAAGTTTTCTCTCTTGATGCTCCAGGTCACCTTGAGAAAGAACCTTTATAGAAAATAATTGGAGCAGTTTAGTAAGTTTTCGAAGGTCATCTTACCCTCAAGTGGACAAGGTTGGAAACCAAGGCTCAGGAGAGCAGGCAGCTCCATCTGAGGACACCACGATGGGGCCAGCCCTGCTGATATCTATGGCAAGTCTCTGCCTTCGTGCTAGACTGAGAGCTGCAAGAGGGCTGAGATTTCCCTTCTCTCTGCCTTCTCCAGACAGCAGCGCAGTACCTGCCACAGCAGGCTGCGCATCTACCCATTCATTCGCCCACTCCTCTCCAGCCTTTATTTGCCTGCCAGAGTCTCCTCTTTGGCTTTCTGGAAACCGCTGCTTCATGCATTCCAGAGCTACAGTTTGAGGGAAGGCTAATGTCTCTATAACCCCTTCCCACCCCATTCTGCGCTGGATACTGGGGAATATCTGGAAGGGGTAAGGGTTCTGATCTAGGATGGATGATTGCAGAGGGTGGGACACACAGAGCCCTTCTCCAGAATCTCTCCATGGCCTTCATTTGAGGTGGAAACGGACAGCCACGGAGTTGCAGGCAGTCATGTCCTGGCTGGTGGGGAAAGTCCGAGTGAAAGGGTGAGGCTCACTCACCGTGGGGAAGAGGCAGGGGGTGAGGAGTCTCAGTGGCCTGAGAATTCCTAGGGAGTCACAGCTGCAGCCCAGCTGCACCCTTGCCCTTCCTGTGGACAGGATATGTGAGTCAATTAACTGCCCAATCTTCCCAGACCAGTTCAAATTGGGTTTTGTCACTTGCAACCAAAGGCTCCTGACTAAATACGTGGAACAAATTGCTATTTAACGTAATGAGTCTGCTGCGGAGCCCGATAAGCCAGCAGGAAACATGTGATCCATCTGCACCTGCCTCACGTTGACAGTGGGAGTGTGAGTCACTCTAGGAAACCTAGAAGTGTGGGACATGGGCATGGGACCGCCTGATTCCTAAGAAACCCCAGCATGGGAAAAGTAGTTAAAGTCCACATCATAGCAGTGAGAGTCTCAATGATAAAGAAAATCAAGGCAAGGGCCAGAGAAAAGACAGGCAGAGGAGTGGAGGCTCTTTGGTGGGTTGGTGGAGGAAGAAGCCCTGTCCGTCAGCTGTCTCCTGGAGGTCTGCACAGGTGAGTGGTCCGGTGTGGTTACTGCTGAGAGTCAAGCAGATGTGCTGGTTCTCACCATCTGGTCTTTGGGCTGGAGGCAGCACCACTGTCTGGGAAGATCTTAGTTTCTTAGCTCATTAGACCTATACAATAAGGACCTGTGCTTCTAGAGGCGCTAGGACTCTGGTGTTTGACAAGCTCTTCCGGTGAATGACTGCATTAGGAAGTTTGAAAAGTACTTAACAGTGCTCTGGCTGAGCCCACAGTCCTGACACCCGGTTCTTGGGTTGTGCATGAACTACTGCATGCACAGTGCCAGTAGAGTTGCATTTTAAGCTAACATCTCGATTTAGCCATTGATTGTTCATATGGCTTTGCCAAGTTACTTCACCCTTTTGACCTTAGGACTCCTCATCTGTAAAACACAAATGAGTAGTCCCCAGTTCACAGGTTGATTTGAAGACTTAATGAGATAAAGTACTTAGAGGGAAAGGTATCAATAAATGTTGGTTACTTATAACATTTTGCTGCTGTTCTGATTCCAGGGAAGCTCCTGGGTTTAGGAAAGGCAGAGATGACCTCTCCAGGAAGACACACTTTTCTGAAACACTTAGTACAGCAGCCTATATTTATTCTTTCTGTTTAACAAACTTCTCTTCATCCTTCAAAACCTTACGGTCATTTCCTCTTTGGTGGTTTCCCAGGGCTGAGCCATGCTTCCTTCTCTATCAAAGTCCTCAGACTGCATATGAAACCTAGCTCTATCTTCCCTAGGTGTTTAATCTTCAGAATGCTTCTTTTATGCCTGTTTCCTCAACGGCAAATTGGGATGAATAATCATACCACCTATAGAGCTGCTGGGAAGATGAAATGAGGTGGTAAGTACGGTACAAAGTGTCACAGAGGCTAGAGGCACACTTTTATGTGGGCTCCCTGTCCATGGCCTGCGGCTCTGTCAGCATGCTCCTCTCTCCAGGAAGGGGCTCCTCTCTGAGACAGAACATTTTTCAGTTTTTTAATCTTTTTTTTTTTTTTTTTTTTGGTCTTTTTCTTTTTTATTGGTACCGGGGATCGAACTCACGACTGCCTGCTTTCAAGGCAGGCGCTTATGCCGCTGAGCTAAATCCCCAGCCCCCTCATTTTTCAGTTTTTTGAGACAGAGTCTCCCTGTGTAATTCAGGCTGGACTTAAATGTATTATGTAGCCCACATTGGCCTTGAACTTACACTGATCCTCCTGCCTCAGCCTCCCTTGCGCTGACATTAAAGGCGTGCACCACCATGCCCAGCTGAAGACAGGACTTCTAAGGGTGTATACCCTCAAAGCACACTGGCATTCATCAGTAGCACACAGGTAAGGAAAGTACTCAGATGCACACATACAGTGACTGTTACTGTTAACTATCAGCTAGAATGGGCTGAGGCACACCCACATAGCTGGTAAAGCAGCTTTTTCTGGCCAGGCGTGGTGGCACACCTCTGTAATCCCAGCACTCAGAAGACTGAGGCAGGAGCACTCCAAGTTCAGCCCCAACTGGACTTACACAGTGAATTCAAGGACAGCCTGGCCCACAGAGCTAGACCTCCTCTGAAAAGCAAACTTCAATTCGTGAACGTAATCACTGGGTGTTTGTGCCATGTGCGTCCAATGTGCTTCCTTCAAATCCTGCTACAACACTGGTACCTTCCCTGTCTGACATTTAAAAAGCCTTTTTTCTGGATGTGCTGTTATGGTATCTCAAGAGATGAGTGCTTATATCGGTGGACTGAGTAAAGATCTGTCCTGACCAATGTGGGCAGGTAATGTCCAGTGGGCTGAGGAATAAACAAAAGGCCAGAGGATGGGCCAGCCTGCTGTCTCTGCTTGAGCCAGGACATCCGTCTTCTCCTGGTGCTCTTGGCTCTTGGACCTCTGGACCCTGGCTGGAACTCAGGCTTGCTGGTTCTGGCCAAAGGCGTGGATGGAAACATATGCTGACCTTCTCGGGTCTCTCACTGGTGGACAGCAGACTCAGGGATTTCCCAGTCTCCATGATAAAGTGAGCCAATCCCTCATAATGTAAGCCTTCCTATTTTTCTTTAACAGGTAGTGATGGTATTAGGCATTGAACCTGGGTTTTGTGCATACTCTGCAGGAAATCTACCATGAGATAGACCTCCTGCCCTTTTCATATGTATATTTTGTTGGCATCTTTTTCATAGAATCTTAATATAACTATATACATACACATAAAGGTGGGTGTGTGGGTCACTCAGCTTTGTGCTGTTTTCTACAATATCCAAGGAAGTGTGTGACCGTATCCTCAGAGATACGACATTTGGCCAGAGACAGGACAGGTGAGCTTGGCCAGGGACATACATGCTCACGTTTCAGGACACATGCACCCCAAGAGCGACCGTCCGTGGCTGTGCCTGCTATCTCCGGGGCTGCACCGCTCTGAGAAGCAGCTGTCTCACAGTGCACTTGCCCCTGTTTCTGACAAGCAGTTACCTGCTATGTTACTTGGCCGTGCTTACAGCGCCGGGTCCTGGGAGAGCTGTGTTATAAGGTGGTTTTTCTTACTATTCACGGCCCACTTTGCAAACCACGGCAGGGGATTTCTTTCCTTCTTCTTTTATCCCCATGCCACTAAAATGAAAACCTCCTAGGGAAATGAGAGTGGCGTGCTTCGGCAATCTAAGCAATTCGGGCTAAGGGGCTTTTTCAAAATCAGATCAGATCTGGTTTCTCTTTCTCTGGCTAACGGGGAAGTCTCTGGGTGTCTGCTTTTTGTTATGCTTTTTTTGTGGCATATATGTTACCACATGTGTCTAAGGCAGGGACAAAACCTCATTACAGGCCCAGTAAGTGTTTTGGATCTGACAAGGTAGTAGCAAGCGCATGACAAGTTCCACCACAAACCACCGGCAACATGCTGCGCACATGCCCATCTGCACCGACCTCCCGTGAGCACCTTAGGATTCTGAGTCGGAAACTGTCCTTTGCACTCAGGGCCCAGTCAAAGTCCTTCAGCTCAACCCTCTGTGCTGCGCCTGGAGGCTGCTGCAAGGCCGCCTTGCCCCCACCGAAGCACACGCCACTCAGACCTCGCATGCTTCTGATTTGACTCTAAACTCCAGAAGCACAGCGACAAGTGCCCATTTTGCACCACGTTTCCAAAGCCAAGCATAGTGCCAGACATGGTTAATAATTTATAAACAGTTATTAAATGGCAACAGGCATAGGAAAATGAGTTCTCAAGAAGTTGTTGCCCAGCCCAAGGCACAGGATCCAGCTTTGAGCCAGGCAGTTGTGCTAAATATCGGCTATGTTTTCGGTAAGTCAGTTAGCCATACTAGGTCTCGATTTTCCATTCTCTGAAATGGGGATAATAATATAAACCTCCTAGGGTGTCGGGAGACTCAAATTACATAGCACTCAGGACAGTATGTAGCAGATCGTATTATCATTTCTACTTGAGAGGGTTACACTTCTTCACCACTGCCAAGAAACCTGCGGTGCTGCCCGATTGGAGGCATCTGCTTCCCTACCCCACTGATGCCTGGCTTGGCGACACGATTCGCCTGGGCCAGTGGACTATAAATTGCAGGTACCATGTCAAAGGTTGCTGCTTGGTTTTGTCAGTACGCTTTTGTCCCAGACAGAGGCTGCTCCTTCAAACTGGGTCCTGGGGTGAAGTCTCTTAAAACAGAGCCATAGTCACCCCCATCCAAAGCATGATCAGGAAAGACACCGTCGCTGGAGCTGCTCATCACAGCAGCACATTTAGAGAGAAAGCTGACTGACACATGGTGCCTGCCATGAAGTGGGGGCCCAGCAAGTCCCAGTGGAAGAAATAAATTCTGAGGGCTCCCCCATGCCCTCTGCTCCCATGGCTTCGATCCTGCAGGTGTGACAGTCAAGCATGGGAGTAAACAAATTCAAGGTGGCATTTTTTGTGCCATGTAAGGATAACAGAATTTTTTAGAAAAACAGAATGCAAAGCTGAATTATTCTACTGTGCTTATGGCCTAGAAACCCACCTTGAATTTCTTTCATGGATTTGCTAATAATTTGTATTTTATTCATATTTATTGAGTCCTTGTTTATATTGAGTGAGCTGGGAGAGAAAGACATCCTCTTCTCTGTAAAGATGGCTTAAGAATTATATAAACATGAAAGTATCAAGTTTAGCCTGGATAAGAGACGGATCCTTAATGGCTTGGATATTTATTGAACTCCTACTACAGTACTAGAGACCAGTGTGCTATATACCTTTCCATGTTGTTTAACCCATGTAAAGTGTGTGATGAGACACAGGGAGATAGTAAAGTACATGGTACCCAGGGGCAGTGTAAGATTGTGAACCTTCTGTCCCCACAACACTGTGCCGCAATTTATTGGGGACCACAAATTCACAGTGAGTAACTTTGCATACTTCCTGAGGGGTAAGTGCAGGCTTGGGATTATCAGTGCCACCCATTTGAAATTTCCCACTGACTCTTTAGGAATGAGCCGTCCTCTCCTACCCACTAAGACTAAAACTAAAATCACTAGGGCAAGATCCTTCTTAGCATAGGATCAACTATACCCTCTTGAGCCATCCCAGGATTATATCTTCCCACTGAGTCATAAACCTCCGAATCCTCCACCAAATTAGAATCGTTCACTGACCCGGCCTATCACTGTATACTCCCAATAAATAGGGCCTGTTTTGGGGAGCCAGGGCTTGGCCCATCCAGAAACATGGACTTCCCAGCCACTAATGTATTATGAAACTCATCTCTGTTTTTTATTTTATTTTCTCAATGGACCCTTTGTACAGACAATCAAGGCTCTTCGTTGGGTCCCTGATTGAGTTTACAAAGGTTTATTATCTTAGTGACACTCTCTGCAGAGTGATCATGAGTCACACACACCTTTGGGCTTTCCTTCCATTATATACTTGCTGCCAAGTGCTAGGGAAAGTACCAACGTTACTCTCCTTATACAGACAAAATATTGGAGGTTCTGAGGAGTTACAAGCATGCCAGAGGTCACCCAGCTAGCCAGAACCTGCACTGGCAGCCTGACAGGAGCCCACAGCTTCTGCGACAGGCCACATTCCCTTTGGCTCATTCCAGACTGAATGGTACTTTATGCCAGCACAGCCTTTCCTATCAAGGCCACTGTCCTCCTATACCAGCAAAGAATGCCCAGGATGATGAAGTGGTAAAAGAGAAAGGGTCCTGGGGAAGTTGACGTAGGGCTTTCCTTTCCTTCAGAGTACACCTATGCTTAGGTGCTCTGGAGAAGACTGCTGCCCTGGCACTTCAGGTGGGAGCCCACCTCCACCCTCCACCCAGGAATGTCTGTTTTCATGCAAGGCCCTGCGGGAAGCAGTAATGCTATTCAGAGTTATCACATAATGTAGCCCTTTGTCTTTAAGCAACTACACTTTAGTGAAGAGACAGACACGCAAGCAGTTAGATCCAAGGGCCTTTGAGGAGGAATAGAAAAAAGAGATCTTAAAATTGGCTAAGAACTGGAGATGTTTCTGAGGAGTGGGCAGCTTTTAAAGCTGGCTTGGCAGAATGAGCAATCAAGCTCTCAACGCACAGGTGCTGTGAAGACCAACTCGGAGGAAGAGCAAGCTCAGGCAGAGGAAGTGGTCCCAGCTGGAGCCATTTAGTGTGCAGTGAGTCGTGTGTCTAGAAGCATGAGCTGAAGCTCAAAGTGGGAGGCACTAGGTCCTAGCCCCGAAGACCTGGCTTTATACTCCATAAAAAGGTATCTTGAGCTCAGTTTTAAACACCTGCACAAGAAGGCCCAGACCTGAGAGGCTATTCAACTTTCGTTCAAGGTGTGGAGTTTTGGAGACAAGAATCTCCTAATGGCCTGAGGCTTAGAAAATATGCTAAGGACTTCAGGTTGGATATTAGCCCAGAGAGCAAGACAGCATTCCTCCTGCACAAACCAGGGATAAGAATGGAGGAAACACAGAAGTGCGGTGCTCAGCGTGGATAAGGAGATGGATTCATTCACTGCGTAGAAGTTACTAAGCATCTCCTGTGTTCTAGTTTTGGTTCTAAACTTATCAGGAAATGAGAATCTTCATACCTCCCAAGTTTTACTTCTAGGAAAAATTTTATTTTAAAATTATGTTTATTGTATATATTCCTTATTTATTTTTCAGTACTGATGATTGAATCCGGGGCCCTTGCACTGAGCTGTATCACTAGCCCATTTTAAATTCTTTTCTATTTTAGTTTTTTTATTTTGGTATTTTTAGTGTGCATGTGTGTGTGTGTGTGTGCGTGTGTGTGCACACGTGTGTGTGTGACACTCTCACTATGTTGCCTGGGGCCGGCCTTGAACTTGTTACCCTTTTGCCTCAGCCTCCCAGAGAGCTAGATTACATACAAGTGTGCACCAGGCCACATCTAAAGGGAAACATTAATATTAGCAAGACTTTAGTATCTGCCAAAGGCACAGCTCTGCGTGATTATACACTTGATCATTTATCAGTCTTTGCCAAAGCCTATTAAGTAGTATTACACTAATTGGGCAGATGGGTAAACTAAGGATCAGAGTTGTTAACTCATCCTGGTCAAGGCCGCAAAGACGTACCAGAGGCAGTCTGCTAAGAGGCAGACCTGGACCCCATCTGTCCTGCCTCACTGTAGGCAGCTATCAGAGGAGGCTGAATTTTAGTTTCCCACCTTCCAGAGGATTGGCTG